TGCTGTGGGGAAGCCCAGCCACACCAAGAGGCCACGTGTGAGCCCCCAGCCCACATGTGAGCAACCCTTTGCATGACTCCAGGCCCAGCCTTCGAGGGTCTCAGCAGAGGCTCCAGACATCACAAGGCCCCTGCAGATCTATCCCTTCTCCAAGCCTTCCAGGAACCCTCAGAGAGCTCTGCAGAAGCATCAGAAAGCTTGGGCTCTGTGCTCACACACCGCATGAGGCTCAGTGTGACCCCCGCCTGGGAGGCCCAGGGGCCATTGGGCAGGCCCAGGAAGTGCCTGTGCAGCCCCTTGTGCTCAACACGGGCCACTCCGTGCTTCTCGCGCCAGCTGTACTGTCCTCTATTTCCTGCCACTGCTTGTCACAGGTGTTGTGTTGTCTCCCCAGTTACACTCCAGGATTCTTCAGTAATACTTATTCACTTTTTACATCAAAGAGGTATTAGAGCCAAATACAAAATAAGTAAGAAGAAAAAGAAGCCCCACTCCCTGCAGACCTTCTGTTCCCCTCTCCAGAGGTAATGACTGTGAAGGGCTCCGCGCCTGACTTCTGAAGTGTTCCTGTACCCACAGAAGCAAGTGACGCATGTGCCTCAGAGACTGGTGACGACCCCACGCCAACTCATGCCAGCACACTCAGCCTCCCTTCCCAAAGCACTGGATCTCACAGGTGGCGCCGCAGCCACGCAGATGGCCGCGCCCTTCCTTCTCCATGCTGCAGAGCGCTCCGATGCTCAGGCGCTAGGATGGGCTTCCGGGAACTGGCTGTTGCCTTCCGTTGCCGCGTCAGGTCCTTATGCCTCACGCTCTATTTGGGCACAGACGGAGACCCTGGCACATGTGAGGCTGCTCCTTCACCAACCACAGGAAAGAGGCTACGCCCAGGCCCGGCGTGCCAGAAAGGAGGCACAGAGCCAGCCCTGGGAGTGACAGGGCCAGGCAGGGCCCTGTGGCCTGAGAACCCAGAGCCACACCTGCCAGCTGGGGTCACACTGGCACCTGCAGACTATAAAACATGGCAGGACCACACTGCTCCCTTGGCCAGCAGCCTCTGTCCCAGGACCTAACTTCAGGGGAGGCTGAGGACTGAGTGACCGCCTCATAGCTGTGACGATGATGTTCTAACCGCTCCTGGAGAAGGGGCCTACCAGGGACACCACCCACACCATAAATTTTCCAGATTATACTTTGGCTGTGCCCTATCCAACCACCCAGCTCCTCAAACTTTCAAAGCACTGGCCAAAGGCAGAGAGCACCAGGCGTGAGGCTACAGCTTTACCTTGTGCTTCGAATAACTCCCTCTGAGGCTCTTCAGCACCCTCGGCTTCCTCATCTGACTTCAGACTCTGCAGAAAAACATAACGAGAAGGATGTGGGTCCCATGGTGGGTGCAGCACCAGGAACAACAAGAATGGGATGTTTCTAGGTGGGGAGGGACTGCCGAGGACGAGGCATCAGCTCCACATGTGCAGTCACACGAGCAGCCAAGGGCCAGGACATGGAGACCAGGACACGCCTTGTTCTGCACACTCGGGGCTCCTCACGTGAACCACAGCCATCAGCAGCTCACACTGGACATAGAATAGAGCACTAGTGTCCTAACGAAGCTGCACGCTCCCCACACCAGCACCTCCTCGTGGTGCCAGCTGCAGAAGCCAGCACGTGACAGAAGCCGGCCCTGAGCTGAGGCTAATGTGCCAGTCACAGGACACAGTCACAAACCAAGGCCTGCGACATCACCAGCTCTCACACCTGCCCCGCCTCACTCATCAATTCAGTGAGCAATGGAAGGTGAGCAGGTCCCTGCACCCCTTCCACGGCTCCAGGCACAGCACGTGCGTGGCAAGCACCTGACACCTCAGGGGCCTCTGCAAGCTTGCACAACCAGGCAGGGCCCGTGGGACACACCTGACTCGGGCAAAAACCTCACATTTTTGACCGAGCCGGCTTCTGACCACGTGCTGTACGTCCCCATAATGGACTGTGGCGTAAGTGCCTGGGTGACCAAGTGTCCAAAGCTGCACTGCTCCTGCAGGTCAGAAACTGTCAGAGATAAATGCTCAGCCCCATCGTTCTAATACATTCAACTCGGCTGAAATCCTAACAGCAGCTATGCCCGTGCTCACGTTTAGGGGACCGTGGATGATCTAAACAGCACCAACCAACCAAGACGGACGAGTGGGTTCGTGCAACCCTCTATAGCTGAGCTCCAGATCTTAAAAAGAGAATGAAAGGGGGACGTCCTGGATTTGTCGCGTCCTGGATTTGTCAGTGTTGCCCAGGTGCAGCATGCCCCTGAGAAGAGAGACTCTAAAAATAAAACATGTTTGTTCTTCCTCTTTGCCTCATCAAATGTTGAAAGTAGAAACAAATCAATTTGGGGCCCCAGAGTTGTCTTGTCAAAGATAAATTCCCAAATACAGCCCCATCTGTCAAGAAGCTGACATTGCAGAGAGCAGGTACCTTCTGGAATCCTTGACAACAGGTCTACTGAGTCTATGACTGACCAGTGAGCCGTGGACCTGCCCCGGGATACCTCTTTCCACAAAGTGCTGGGAGGCTCCAGACCCGCAGGCTGGTGCTGAGGGGCAGAGTCAGCCGCAGGAGTGTGGCCTCGGCAACATCGTAAGTGCTGGAGGGAGGGGGACAGTGGCCTTGACACATCCACACTCCTAACTGAGAGGCTGCATCGGGAAGGCACCTCCCCCTTCTATCCTTGGCACGTTACCATTTCATGCCAATGAAGCCATAAAAATCACTTTCTTGCAGTGACAGGGGAAGGTAGAGGTGGAGAGCAGGGAGGGAGACGAAGGATTCAAATTCTCTCCTGCCCAGGTAACCCGAAGGCAATCAGATGGAGACAAGTTAACATGGAATGACTTAGATGCCCTCCCCGCATCCTCTGTGATCAGGTGTTATGAAACAGGTGGGAAGAGACAGCAGACCCACCTCCACGCTTTCCAGGGATGCGGAGCACTGGAGCGGGCTTCTCAAGCTGGCCTGCACCTGCTGCTCTGGCATGTGCATGGCTTCGGTGGCAGAGCCCCACTGCTCAGGCTCACTCCGACGGCCGTACCACTTAGAGCCGCTCACGTACTTTGGTGGGACAGCACAGGAGACAGCTGGAAAGAAAACAGGAGACCTGGTGAGGGAGGCTTTTAAAACAGCTCTGGGCCCATAATGCTGACAGGATGCCCTCTAAGAAGCTGTAGACTGGCCATAGAGTGTGACTCATGAGCACGCACTGTTATGTGCACAGAAACTTCTAAAGGAACACAAGAAATGGTTAACAGAGGCTGTTCGCTTACCTGGGGCTTTCCTCTAAACTGTGTGCTGTTGATGTTTTTTTTTTTTTTTTCCTTTTTGTCTTTTTTCGTGTCCGGCAACGGATCGCAACCCTCAGTGTCGCGCCCGCACCTCGCTCAGCCAGTGAGCGGGAACCGGTCTGTATGTGGGATCCGAACCCTCGGCAGGAGTGCTGCCGTGCTCCCAAGCGGCGCACTGTAGCAGTCCGCCACCGGGCCGGCCCGCACTGTTGATGTTTTTTTTTTTTTTTCCTTTTTGTCTTTTTTCGTGTCCGGCAACGGATCGCAACCCTCAGTGTCGCGCCCGCACCTCGCTCAGCCAGTGAGCGGGAACCGGTCTGTATGTGGGATCCGAACCCTCGGCAGGAGTGCTGCCGTGCTCCCAAGCGGCGCACTGTAGCAGTCCGCCACCGGGCCGGCCCGCACTGTTGATGTTTTTTTTTTTTTTTCCTTTTTGTCTTTTTTCGTGTCCGGCAACGGATCGCAACCCTCAGTGTCGCGCCCGCACCTCGCTCAGCCAGTGAGCGGGAACCGGTCTGTATGTGGGATCCGAACCCTCGGCAGGAGTGCTGCCGTGCTCCCAAGCGGCGCACTGTAGCAGTGCGCCACCGGGCCGGCCCGTGCTGTTGATGTTTTTTAAAGCATATTTCGCTTCTGCTTATGTGATGAAAGCAAACACGAAATCTAATACAAAATCTAGCTTTTTATGCAAAAGAAAAAACCTCCCCAATAATCCAACAACATACAGCTCCAGGGACCCGACAACCACTTCCCACGATTTCACCTTAGGACCCTGCCCCAGCAGGGCTAGGGACGTGGATGGGGGTGGCCACAGACACAGCTAGGGGAGTCTCTGATATCCCATGGCAGGTCTACAGGTCTAGGGCAGGGGCCAGCGTAGATTCTAGTTGTGGGATTCACGAGAACACCCTAAACCTACAAGTCCTTGCACCTCGTTCTTCCTCCCTTACTTCTCCACATTTGCATGACCCTAATAAAGGCGTCGCACAGGCAGGACAGGAGAGAGACCAGGGAGGGCAGCTTTTGCAGCAGTCATGACAGGACATGGGCTCAGAGGGAAGAAGCCCCAGGATAGGGCCCAGCCAGGGAAACTGAGGCACATTTCCCTGCAGATGTATCCCAAGTCTCACACAGCAGAAGCCAGGCTCCCTAAGTAATGCTCCTCATCCCTTTCCTCAATGCCCCTGGCTGATCCACAGCCACTGGTCTTGGGCCATTAGAGGAGGAAGCTGGGTCAAGCCTGGCCAGACAGGTGCAAAGACGGAAACTAGGGACGAGGCTTAGGGAGGAAGATGCTGACTTCCACTAGGGCCATGCTGAATGTGAAGTGGCAGCGTGACATTCAAGGCAGCTGGCAATATGCAGGGTGACCCCAGTAGGACAGTCTGAAGTTCTCTACCAGACGGTAATGATCCCCCTGGGAACAGGTATCCATGGGGCTTGCACGGCAAACTCTCACTGGACGGGACAGAGCTCCTGGGGATGCTGGAGCAGAGGAAAGAGTTGCCAGGTCAGCGGAGAGCAAGTGAGAGAACCTGCAGAAAATGTACCAGATCTCAGAGCAGCAGCTACAAACACGCAGAAAGGTGCTCCAGGGAGAGTTGCCAGAAGGACGAATGAGTGGCCAGTGAATCAAGGCTCCTGTTTCTGAGTCCGGCTTCCACACACACAGTGCAGCCAGCTGGTTGTGAGCGGCTGGGGAGGAACCTTCCTCCACCCTCCGTGCCTGAGGAAGCACCATGAGGTGGTGCAGGAAGAGGGGAATTCCTGTTTGGTGGGCAGGAGGCTGTGGGACACCTGGGACCTCAGCGGTGCACTCCCGAATGACCCCTTGGACAGGAGACCTGCACAGAGGCAGAGCCCAGCCACCCTGCACGCCACCTGTGGCCACTCCTGGGGTGCTGGACACACGTTTGCACACCTGGAGATGGTGCGCCCAGTGTACATCCCTGTTCTCCTCCCCTTGGTTTTCCTTACCTCCACTTCCCCGCCAGACTGACCCCCAAGCCCATGATCAGGCTGACCTGATCCTGTGCTGGCTGCGCCACCCGGTGCTGACAGTCAGTCAGTACTTCCCTTAGGATAAGGAGCCACCCAGAAAAACATGTTTATTTCATACTATTCCCCACCACTGTCACGACAGGAGCCGGAGTGCCACCCCTTCCTCCATCAGGGAGAAGCCCACTCTACAGAGTGTCCACGGGGCAAGGCAGGGCGCAAACAAGGGCGGGAGAACTGCAGCAGAGGAATGAACAGGGCGGCAGCGACACCCACAGAGCCACAGCGTAGGAGTGCTGAGCCACCTGGGCCACGCGTTCTTCCAGAGGACAACCAAGTCCTCCTGCACGCCCGGTGTGCCTTCCTGATGTGTGTATTTATAGGAAAAGTGGAACGAAGCCCTAGAGTGAAAATGCATGGACTTATGTGTTTAGTAACAGTCTTTAACCAAAGGAAAAGAATGACCTGGAGCAGGGCTGTTCTCCAAAGTCCAGGGCAAACAGTCACATCGTGAAACTCTCACGCCTGGACTCTAAAAGCCCATTTTTCTGATCATAGTGGGAGGTGCTGGGAAGGACCAGCAAACGGATTAGGAATCAGGAAGAGCGCAGCGCCAGGACCACAGCTGAGGCCAGCGGGGCCCTGCAGAGCGACCAACCGGGCGGGCCAAGCCAGCGCAGAGACAGTAGTGGAGGGCATGGGTGGGGTCTTACCCGAGGACAAAGGACTTTCTTCATCAGAGGCACAGACACCAGCACCTGAGGACAACACAGCCACAAAACCTTCCTTAAATTCCTCAAAGTTAACCTGGGTGAATTTAAGAGAGGACAATGTTACTTTCAACAGATCACGCCTTTAATATGTTGATCTTTGGGGTTTTTTTCTCAGATGGAAACATGTTGTCTTTTAGACAGAACATTCTTCTTTTCAAATGTTTACTTTTGATTTTTAATTAATTAATTATAATTATCTTACATTCTAAGATGTTGGGGAGCAGTGGGGGGAGGGGGAGGGGAAGGAAGGAGCATAGGGTGGGAGGAAGAGGAAGGAGGGAGGGTGGGGCACGGTTGAGGCTACTTAAGGTTTTTAAAATAAAAAGCATAAATGAAAGTCAACCATAATCCCACCACCAAATAAGCACTATTATCGATTTTATAAATCAAGCAACATAATTAGAAAACAGTGCAGAAAAGAAGGGTCTGGTGACCATAAAACAGTGACCCACATAAAGCAAATGTCCATGGAATCACCACCCCATGTGGAGAACCAGCACCCTGAGGCCCTCCCACCATGACCCTTTCCTGGTGAATGTCCTGCCCACCTACTCTGACTTTTATGGTAATGACGTCCTTGCTTTTCTGTATCTCATTTGCGTGAACCACTAAAAAATATGGTTTAGTCTAGTCTCTTTTTGAATTTGATGCAAATGGAACCACGTGTATACCTTCCCTGATGTCCTACTTCTCCGATTCCATGTGACTTCTGTAATATTCACCTCACCTGCCGTGCATGGATATGATCCATTCATTCTCTGTGCTGCACGCTGCTCCACTGCCTAAGTGCGAGAACTAACCACGCTCCTGCTGACGGGTATTTCCACGGTCTCCAGCGCTCAGTTATTCAAAACAAAACTGCTTTAAACATTGTTACACGTGTCCCTAGGGTTTTTCTCATATATACTTAAGAATGGGATTGCTGGCTCACAGAATGTGCATTTATATCTTCTTGGTGAACTGAACCTTTTTTTTTTTTCCCCTTTTTGTCTTTTTTCATGACCGGTAACGGGATCGCAACCCTCGGTGTTGCGCCCACACCGTGCTCAACCAGTGAGCAGACCGGTCTCTATATGGGATCCGAACCCTCGGTGGGAGCGCCGCCACACTCCCAAGCGCCGCACTCTACCGAGTGCGCCACCGGGCCGGCCCTGAACTGAACCTTTTATCATCATAAAATACTCACCCGCTTGACTTCAGTCATGCTTTTTACCATAAAGTCCATTATCTCTTATATCAAAAAATAACTCCAACTTTCTATTGGTTAGTACTTATAAGATACATCTTCTTATCAAACTTTAAAATTTTTATATCCTTATGTTCCAGGTGTGCTTCTTATGAACAGTCTGCAGTTGGGTGTTTTTCCCAATCTGACTGTCTTTATTCTTAATTGAAACATTTAGTCTATTTACATTTAATGAAATTACTGATATATTTGAATGTAAATCTACTATTTTGTTTTGTGCTTTCAATTTGACCTGCTTATTTTTTCTCTTTTCTGTCCTCCTTTTGGACTTGCTGCTTATATTTTAGAATTTCATTTTTCTCTTTACTAATTTAGAAGCTATACAGTTTATCCTAAAAACCACAACATGTATCCGTAGCTTATCAACATTTACTATTAATCAAGACTTTCACCCTCTGCTATGACAATACAAAGTCTGTGTAATACTTTAACTCCATTTACCACACTCCTGAATTTTATACTCTTGTTATCACCTATTTTAATTCTATATATTAACCAGCCACAAAATTTTTTTGGTTTTATATATAATGTTTATTTATAACTATTCACATATTGAAAACTCTGTTTTTCATTTCTTCTTGAATTTCTGACCTTCCATCTGGGATAACTTTCCATCTATTTAAAGTATATCCTTTAGAATTTCATTTTTCTTGAATATGCTGGTGCCAAACTCTTTTAGTTTGTCTGAGATGCTTTTATTTCACCTTTATTCTTTTTCTTAGCAGAAAAATAATTTACATCATAATTTATCATTTTAGAAGAGTGGATATGACCCTGATGTCCATGTAAATAGAACAGATAAATTATGATAACAGTCACATAAAGAAATACATGACATGAAAAAAGAACAAACCACTGATAGACACAACATGAATGCATCTCAGAGACATAATACTGAATAAAAGAGGCCAGAAAGTATGTACTATTTATTTCCATTTATATAAAGTTCAGAAACAGGCAAAACAAATCTATGGNATTGAAACATTTAGTCTATTTACATTTAATGAAATTACTGATATATTTGAATGTAAATCTACTATTTTGTTTTGTGCTTTCAATTTGACCTGCTTATTTTTTCTCTTTTCTGTCCTCCTTTTGGACTTGCTGCTTATATTTTAGAATTTCATTTTTCTCTTTACTAATTTAGAAGCTATACAGTTTATCCTAAAAACCACAACATGTATCCGTAGCTTATCAACATTTACTATTAATCAAGACTTTCACCCTCTGCTATGACAATACAAAGTCTGTGTAATACTTTAACTCCATTTACCACACTCCTGAATTTTATACTCTTGTTATCACCTATTTTAATTCTATATATTAACCAGCCACAAAATTTTTTTGGTTTTATATATAATGTTTATTTATAACTATTCACATATTGAAAACTCTGTTTTTCATTTCTTCTTGAATTTCTGACCTTCCATCTGGGATAACTTTCCATCTATTTAAAGTATATCCTTTAGAATTTCATTTTTCTTGAATATGCTGGTGCCAAACTCTTTTAGTTTGTCTGAGATGCTTTTATTTCACCTTTATTCTTTTTCTTAGCAGAAAAATAATTTACATCATAATTTATCATTTTAGAAGAGTGGATATGACCCTGATGTCCATGTAAATAGAACAGATAAATTATGATAACAGTCACATAAAGAAATACATGACATGAAAAAAGAACAAACCACTGATAGACACAACATGAATGCATCTCAGAGACATAATACTGAATAAAAGAGGCCAGACAGATAAATTATGATAACAGTCACATAAAGAAATACATGACATGAAAAAAGAACAAACCACGGATAGACACAACATGAATGCATCTCAGGACATAATACTGAATAAAAGAGGCCAAAAAGTATGTACTATTTATTTCCATTTATATAAAGTTCAGAAACAGGCAAAACAAATCTATGGTGTTAGTGCCAGGACAGTGGTTAACCTTTAGTGGCAGAGGGACAAAAAAGGGGCACAAGGTGGGATTCAGGTGCTGGTTACACAGCTGTGCTCACTTTGGAATATTCGCTGAGCTGTACCCTTTGAAATGTGCTCTTTTCTCTATGTATGCTTTGATGAAAGTCACACAGAAAAAAATCAACAGAAAGCGTTATTAGGTAAGTCAAAGTATCACCAGTAAGTGCTGGAACAGCAGGCTTGGGCTGTAGGTCCAAGCACACTTCCCAAATCTGGCAAACAACTTGAATGAGCACATCTCTGTTGCTGCCACTGAGCATGAAATGCTGCTGTCTGCTTCACACACCTTTGCCGGGGACACGGGTTACCACCTGACGTTAGGTTACATACGCATTTGTCTGTTTTCTTTCTCCCCAACTAGAATGTGAGTTCACGGCTGGCATGATGTAGGTACTCAACAAGTATTTACGGGATGTTGAGAACTCCCCTTCTCAACTGAGGCATGCTTTCACCTTTATTCTTGGAGGATATTTTGGCTGTGTATGGAAATCAGGCTGGCAGTTATTTTCTTCTAGCACATTAGAGATATCTTTCTACTATATCATGGCTTCCACTGCCACACTGGAGATGGCAGTTGTCAATGTAACTGTGGTTCAGTTTTAGGATATGTCTTTTCTCTGGCTGCTTTTCTTAAAATTACTAAACTTTTCATTTTGAGATAATTACAGATTCACATCCCTGTACCCACCTCTGACTGCTTTTAAGATGTTCTGTGTCCGTTTTCCTTCAGTTTCACAATGATATGGCCAGGTGTGGACCATCCTGCTTGGAATTCCCTGGGCTTTTGGAATCCCGACAAGTATGATTCATCTGTTCTGACATTTGGTAGCTAATATCTCTTCATGTAATGCCACTCGCCCTTCTCTCCTTTCCTCCTGGACTCTAGTTAAGGTGATGCTGGACCCTCTCACTCCATTTTCACTGTCTCTTCTTTTTGTATCTTCACGCTGCATTCTGAGTGATTCCAGTTAATGAATGCTCTCTTCAACTGTATCTAAACTGCTGTTAAACTCTTCCATTTAGTTTTTAATTTTGGTCATAATACTTTTTGGTTCTAGAAGGTTCATTGTTTGGATTTGCTATATCGATTTTTAGAGTATCCTCTTTTCTATGGACATTTTTAAGCTTTTCAAAAAATCTCTCCTACTATAGCAACCATAGTGGTTTTATATTCTGTACCTAATAATTCCAAATCTCACATCTTTGTGGGTCTTCTTCCATTGCCTGTTGTCTCAGCCGGTTCTTGCTCATCCTGCCTGGTTTGTGTGCCTCATTATCCTTGATTGTATGCTGGTTACTGTATTTGGCTATTACTTAGGAATAATTTTAGATCTGGGATGGCCCTTTCCTCTTCTCTTGTTTTCTTTTGTCAGGTATATGAGGGCACTGTCCACACAATAATCTAAGTGCAAGGCTTGAGGTTCTCTAGAACACTGCAGGGACACAAGACTAGATTGCAAAGTAGCACAACGGCCTATCACCTGCAGTTCATCTTTACCCTGTAAGTGTTACCCTTCAGGATTCTCCCTTAAATTGGGGGTTGGTTTACCAGATTCTCTACCTTGGATAAGCCTGGGTTTTGATATATATTTCCCTGGTCTTCTGAGGCCCCCAAGACCAAGATCCACTTCATGCTTACTTAAGATCAGAAAATATTCTCAGGGTAAATGGGGTTTTCTGTGCTGAACTTAACTCTCTGAGTACTTGACTTACAGATTTTCGGACTTTCTTACAGATTTTTGGTATTTCTCATCTACTCGTTTGCTTTATACTAGATCAGAAAATATTCTCAGGGTAAATGGGGTTTTCTGTGCTGAACTTAACTCTCTGAGTACCTGACTTACAGATTTTCGGACTTTCTTACAGATTTTTGGTATTTCTCATCTACTCTTTTGCTTTATACCGTTTTCAAGATTTTTGTTCTTATTATTTTGTTCAGCTTTTTTTTACTAGCCCTCAGTGGAAGGTTGGTATGAGTTTGTTCACTTGCCACTACTGGAATGTCTGAAACCTCTTCATTCTTTCTCAGGGCTGCATAAAATTTCATCTTATGGATGTACCAGTATTTGTTTAACCAATCCCGTACTAAAAAGGCTGTTCCCAAACTTTTGCTGTTTGAATCAATGCTAGAAGAAATAACCCTGCATATATTTCATTTCCCATGAAGACAGAAGTCGTGTTTCTTTCATCTTTGTATTTGTAGCATCTGGTGTTGCCTACTACATAAGAAGTGCTCAAAAAATACATGGATGAATAGCAAAATGGCAATTTTGCTTGATTAATCACAGATTATTTCGTGTCTTTCACAATAATTATCAGCTGACTTTCTTCCATCCATCAAACAGCCGTGGAATCTGATGGCCCAGTTGGGTGCCACTTCAGCCTGACAGCATGTCGACTGCACGTATATGTTCCCTTGAGCCCTTCATAGCTCACAAGAGAGAAAGAGTGACACACTGCATTCAGGTGTTTGACCTACTAAGACACACAGCCAGATCTCCATGTGATCGCAGATTAATTCACTGCAAGATGAAGGGGTAGACCCTGTAACTTAGAGTCTTTCAACTTTAAAATTATTGTCAATAACACTATGTTAAGAATCATTGTTTTTGGAGAGAAGAATTCTCTCTCTGCCCAAATTTAAAACACTCGAGGTTAAGATCCTCACCACTGGTAACCAAACAAACAAAAAGAAGACAACATAACATAAAATAGGCATGGAAATGTCCCATGAAACTCAACAAGAATTTTAGGCTGTGTTAACTTTCTGGTTTGAGAGCAGACCTTGATAATGTTTCTTTAACAGGAAATAGGAATTACAAACAAAGATACATTCAAAGCATTTTTAAAATTACCATGTTAATTCAAATATAATGCTTCATTTTCACAATTGGATTTCTGTATCAGTGAGTAATATCTATACAGTATCATATATTTTAGTTACTACAAGGAAAGGAGATACATGGTATTTGAACTGGAAAGCCAATAATCCATTCATTCTCCTGGACAAAGGATTTGTCTCGGTTTTCTTTGAGATTTCTTGAAATCTCTACCATTTGGTTTCTGTTGTAGACAATGGGGACAACTACTTGTATATTCCTGGCTTGACACCTGCTTCCCCTGAAATCTTGGTATGATGTTGCACCTAAACGAGGGCTGTGGGAGCTCCTCCCTGTCAACAGGACAAAGCAGAGGAGCAGTAAAAGCTCCGAACAGAGAAATTACCCACAGTGACCAACCATCACAAGGAGATGGGACAAAGTGTGAGGTGGGAGAGACAAACACCAGGCACCTCGGTGGCATTGGCTGGTGTGGGCGCTGCTCTCGGAACATTAGAGAGGGAAGAAGAGGAGATGGGACAAAGTGTGAGGTGGGAGAGACAAACACCAGGCACCTCGGTGGCATTGGCTAGTGTGGGCGCTGCTCTCGGAACATTAGAGAGGGAAGAAGATAACTTCAGGTCAGACTGAAGAGCACTAATGCAAGCACAGTTATTTCTTAGTTTATCCAGCATCTGATTTGCTTTTTGAGAACAGAAAATCATAGCTGTAAGAGAATGGAGTTGGACAGAGAGAAGGACTGACGGATGGACACACATGGGCACACACACAGCTCTGCCAAGAGGGACTGCTAATCAGAAAAGGCCAGACTCTTGTAGCTGCTTGTGGGTATCTGTCTTTCCCTCCCCATAAACGTCTTAGGATAAACTTTCAAGCCTCCTGGAAAAGGAGCTGCTCTTCAGGACACATATGACGCGGCTGAAGTCTCACATTTCAAGTGACCCAACTTGATTTTTCTCTTTGTTGACATTCCAATACCAATTGTTTTTTTTTCCTGTCATAATTTGATGTTTCTAAATCTTATACCCTTGCCGCACATACAAAGCATAAAGTGAAAAGGGGCTTGGGAATGATACAGTCGATTCGATCAGCAGAACCTGAAATCTGAATCTGGGCCCAAAAGTTATTTTTTTGTTTTGAATTTTCCGAACTGTCCAAATATCAGAAAACCAGACCGTCTGTTCATACTGTATAAATAATCAGAGGATCGATTTTTCACAAATGTGCCTTTTACTCATTAGGTCCCCAATACAATTCCAAGTGATAGAATGTTATCTACCAAAAACACATTTGATTCTTAAGTCCACATACACAAAAAGGCAGGAATAGAGTAAAGAAACAGAGACAGGCACGGTCCGTTTAACTGAGGCAGAGTTTCTCATGGGGCAGGAACGGTACCTGCTTACCAGGGCAGCGTAGGTTTCTCTGGGGAAGTACCGAGAGATCAAATTCACCTGAGCTCTCTTCCTTAGGCAGTGAGCGTTTTTGTTTTCTTGTTTTTTTTCTTTTTTCTATTTGTTTCTGTCCAAGAGCCAATTCAAGAAAATTCACAGGCTGGATTTTTTTTTTTTTTTTTTACATTCAAAATGAAAATAGTTTTGAGTCCAGTGGAAAAAATATTCTTTCTTCAAAGTTAAGATGACCCATGATGACGAAAAAAAAAAAAAAAAGACAAAAAAAAAAATTTTTTTTTTTTTTTTTTTTACATTCAAAATGAAAATAGTTTTGAGTCCAGTGGAAAAAATATTCTTTCTTCAAAGTTAAGATGACCCATGATGAGATAAGGCATTGTTTTTAGCACTAACGTGTTAATATTTCGGCACATTTCAGAAGCAGGAACGGGGAGGGAGGGATGCTTTTCAGTACTTCAATTGTGAAAGCAGTTTGCAGTCTAGGATCTGGATCACCATTCTAGATGACCTTGAATTCCCTGGAGAAATGAACTCTCTGAGTTCAAATTTTCTATCTGGCCTAGATGAAATCACAGAACACCTCTGGACAGAGGTGTCCTTTGTTCTTTCAACAGTAGTTTACAATGGTTTTATCCAACTGCAAGATGAATTTTGAGCTGTGAAATTTTATAAGACAACCTGCTTTCGAGAGACTGTGAAGCTGTCTGTAAATGACTTGCCAGCGCGTGAGGTGCGCACAGATCCAGCCCTGTTTTTGTCAACTACATGCCACCCATCCGTCCCTAAGACAAACCACTAAAACATCTTTATGGAAAAAAAACAAACCAAACCAACCTTTGGAAGTTATTACACGAAAGAAAGTAATCTTAAGGAACGGAAATGCTACAATGTAGGATTTCCACAGAGGGGAAAACAGTATTCCATTTCCTAATAACCCTCCTTTGATGAGTATCTGTATCCAACTGATATTTATCAAATGCCCACAACAGCCAACTACAGAACCGTGTGCTCTTCTTCAAGAGAATGAAGTCTAACACCCACCCTGGCAAAGTGGTCATTTCCAAGAAGAGTTTGCAGGAGGACGGGCAGCTGCCTTTCCAGGTGAAGCTTCAGGCAGAGTTGGGTCAGCTCCTCCCGGTCCAGAAAGCCTGTCCCCGTGGTGTCGCAGCTCCTGTAGACGTCCCTGAGCAGCGAGACATAGTGGTTCTGTTCTTCATCGTCCATCCCATAGCAGGCTGGCCCTGCCCGGGGGAGAGAAGAACATCAACCCTGTGCTTGCCGCCCTCACACCTGCTGCACCAGCACAGGGGCGGGAAGGTGCCCGTCCCTGGGGGTCAGCTCCCCGCGCAGGACAGCGCCCGATCCTTCAGTCATCAGGCACAAGAACCAGAGTTTCTTTGTTATGTAAAAAAAATCTTATTATGGAATAATTAGAAAACAGAGATAAGTATAAAGAGAACTAAAACCACCCAAAATTCCACCACCTAAAAAAACTATTATTAATATTTTGGCAAATATACATTCTAATTTTTCTGTGTATGTATACAAGTGTGTTTTTTCCCTTACAAATACAAGGTCTTTTCCTTACCAGTACTAAAATAAGCAGTAAAAATTTTACTAAATTTCTCTAAATAAAAGTGCTTATAATAAAAACAATGGAAACTCCAATAAAAACATACAGAAGAGGATAAAAACAAATCACAAAAGAAGAAAAATATATAACTAATAACCATCTAAAAAACTTAAACTATAACTGAGATACTACTTATGACTGTCATCTTATTGAGACTGAAAACCTTTAGTGCTACCAGGCTGTCATGATAAAGGGGATCCCACACGTCACTTGGGTAGAGGGACAATCGGTTTACATTTCTGGAGGGTACTTTCTATATATCAAGAAATTTTTAATTATTCTTATTATCTGGCCTAGTTATTTCACTTACATGAAAGTCCTTATAGAAATTCCTTACATTTAAGAAAACGGAGCTACAAACATATGAGTTCATCAGAGTATTATATATATATGGCCAAGAAAGAAAATAACCTAAAATATTCAACAAAAGAATAGTTTGCTAAATTATAGGGCATTTATACAACAGAATATGTTGTTGTATAAAAGCTGAAAATCACATTTCTGAAAAATATTTAATAGCATAGGAAGTATAGGCAGTAACTATCAAGTCAGGGTAAAAACTGTCTATAATAACAATAGCTCAAATACTTACTGGCCACCTTCCGTGTAATTATTCATTTATGCTTTATAACAATTCTATTAAGAGGCTTCTGTAACTTTCTAGGGGAAGATATATTCAAAAAAGAAAAAGAAAAAAATACACTAAAATGTTAAGAGATGTTTTCATGGTATAAAAAAATAGGAAAATAGAAAATATAAATGTATTTCCCAAAAATGTTATAACAAGTAGAACACTTCTATTACCAGAAAAAAGTTATTAGAACATGAAAAACATTAAGGTCCTAAAAATATTAAGATGTATGATACAAAACTGCCAATATTTGACCTGCTGACCCACAAAAGTGGCAATTTCATATGGGTCAGCCTATTATACACGCACAAGAACTAAGGGACAATTCTAAAAAGAGGAAACAAATGTGGAAAGTCACATTAATAATCAATTTATAAATATGAAACAATGAAGCCACCTTTCTTACTAGTAAGGCACTGCACAGTAAATGCCAACTCAACACGGCTGTCACTATAACATGGCATGGTGACGGTGCTCACCTGTCACCACCCACACAGGGCACGGAGGCCTGACTCAGCTCACTCAGGCAAACAATACATTCAACGACATAAAATATTAATGTTACATAGAATCTTCACGGTGATATTTCACCTTGATCGTAGAAGGTGAAATGCCTCATCTGACCTCTTAATTAACACCTGTTGATAAGGCATAAAAACAGCCAGTGTCCCCACTGAGAATGAACAGACGTGTTTGTGAACATAGATTTCACATAGGTGAAAAATGGTAATGAAGCTGCTCAACAATCTGCGTGGGCTGGCCCTGTTTGCTAACCAGAGTAAGTATTCCCTTCTCAACAGCTGTGCACAGAAGTTAAGAAAGACACAGAGGGGAAGCTATGAACACCTGCTCCTCTTCAGACTGCAAAAAACATCCAGGACAAAAATGCACAGAAAAACATAAACGATAAATCAGAAAGCAAACTCAACAACTGTTCTAAGTCAACATCTGTCAGACTTCTCATGAAGGACGTCTTCCTCCCGGAGTGGGATGCTCTACCCTTTTGTGGACAAGAGCCTGCTTTGGTTTGGTGAGCTACATAAAACTGCTGATATCTGCAAATGCTAATTTTTGCCATGCAAGAATTAAACCGATGGGAGGATACCCAGTAAGAAGACAAGTGGTAAAACTCAGGATCTGAAAGGCAGGAATGGGGACCCCAGTTAGAGGTGCACACACCAACACCTCTGTGGATTGCGCCACCCCCCCAATATCTCCACGAGTCATGAACAAACACAGTTTTGAAAATTCCTCCATTTCTTTCTATTTTATCTTTAGTTACAACCAATTCAAGCAATTGGAAGTATATAAACTAAAAACAAAACAAAACACCCTGTCCCTCTACCTCGACCCACTTCCCAGAGGAAACTACTGCTTGGAGTGTAGGCTTTGAGATGATTTCCAAGTCTCTAAGACAGATGGACGGCCATGCACGTGCATACATGTGACACACCTATTTTTACGTAAGTACCACACTGTACATATTATTTTGCAATTTTTTTTTAACTTAATGCTATTTGACATGAGAGATCTTTCTATGCCTTCCTCATTTAAAAAAATGACTATCCACTCTTGTGTACAGGGGTGTAACATAATGTACAGCAACCCTTGCATGCTCCCTCACCAGGCCTGGCTAGGCGTGTGCTACAGCTGCCTGAACTCCTGCGCTGGGATTCCAGGACTAGGTGGGACACAGGTGTGGAGCCTATAGGTTAAAGGGCACTAGAAGGGCCCTCCATGAGCAATAAAGCTCCAGTCAGTTGAGTGAACCCACCCATCTGATGGGCCATCCCCTCGAGGGAACCTGTGACATGCCCCACTGTCCACAGCCCTGTCAATCACATACACAGAACTTTGTGCAACTCCACACGGCTGAGGCACTGGCCACTCAGAACCACTGCTTTCTTCTCCTTTCCCTGGTGCCTGTGAGTCTGGGACACTGCCTCCCAGAGCAGGTGCTTCACCTACCGGCTCGCTAGGTCCAGGCAAGCAGGTGAGTCAGGCATGGCAGTTCCACAAGTCAGTCGAAAAAGACCTGTCGGTCATGACTTGCTAGGACATTTCCTAACCCCCATCAGGACAACGTCCAGTGTTCCAAAACTAATGGAAGAAAGGAGGTGCTGTTTCCATGTATGTGTACCAGCAGAATGCACACTCCCTCACCCTCTTTCTCAAACCTCTCAAATACCACAGGACCAGCAACCTCAGAGGTTGAGACCACTGGAAACCTTGGTCAGGAAGGCACGAGAAAACTGCACAGATGCTAAGGGAGACTGTCTTGACGTGGAAAACACGGCCAGGTGGGGTCCACATGGGAAGACATCGCAGAGGAGCCACACTGCCTCAAGTGGCTGCCCCAGGATTCAGGAGTCCCAGAACGTGGCTCAGGTGACAGGAAGCAGACAAACTGGAAACACTAAGAAAATTGTGGAAGGTCTTAGAAATGGTGGAGAAGCCTGAAGGAGGGCTCAGGATTCCGGTGTTCACACACACTCCATTCACTGAATCTGGAGCCAGTGATTTTTTGGAGAAGGAGATGGGAGTAAAGACGGGGCTTAACCCAAGACGCCCATCCATGCGCATGCAGAGAATAACATCCACAGAGAGACAAAGGAAAATCATTATAGTCATGAAACAACAGGAATGCTATACAAAAGGAATGATTAGAGACTAAGGGAGTGTTCTTTGACATTGACACAGTTGCAGTAAAAAATTCAATGGTAGGATTAGAAGATAAAGACAGGAAAATCTTCCATAAAGTGTATCTAAACAATAAAGACATTTAAAAAAATGAGAAAAATATTAAGAAATTAAAAATCAGTCCCATACAGTAATCAAAACAGTGTGGTATTGCCATACAGACACAGAGATCAACAGAACAGAAAAGAGAGTCCAGAAATAAACCCTCATATATATATGGACAAGTGGTTTTCAACAAGGTGCCAAAAACCACACAATGAAAAAGAACAGCCTCCTCAAGAAAATGTTGCAGGGAAACCTAGATATGCACAAGCAAAAGAATGAAGTTTAACTCTTACCTTATAACACATAAAAAATTTCACTCAAAATGAATCAAAGACCTAAATGTAACACCAAAAACTGTAAAACTCCTAGGTGAAAACACAGGGGGAAAGCTTCATGACGCTGGATTTGGCAATGATTTCTTGGATGTGATACCAAGACCCTGCAACAAAAGCCAAAATAGACAGATGTGACACAGGAGGTCTCAGTTTCCATAGGTTTGGATTACAAGACACACCTCTGGGTTTCAAGCCACGTGCCTAGGACTCAAGCCCCGTCTCTGAGTCCTAAGCTATGGGGGACCATTTTCAGTACCAGCATGTGGAAACTGAGACCACAAGGGGCGGACTTATACAAACCCAGTGGCTGAGCATGCTTAGTAGAAAGGAGCTATGTAACACCAGTAGCTGAGCATGCTCGGTAAAGTGGGATTTATCCTTAGGATGACCTTTCACTGGAGGCACTAGAGAGCACGGGTACCCTTGAAGTTGACCGATGAGCAGGTTCTAAAAGAGACCAAATGAGCATGTGCGAGACTCTGTTACATAACAGGCAACACCCACCCCCTTAGTTGAATGTTCGTTAGCAGCAGGCGTCTGTATTAGGTGGCAGAACTATGAATGAAGGTGAACGCCGGCCGGTAGGAGGGGGGCTGTTGCTCACTCCCTTTGGGCCTGCCTGAGAACTATGAATGAAGGTTAATGCCGGCCGGTAGGAGGGGGGCTGTTGCTCACTCCCTTTGGGCCAGCCTGAGAACTATGAATGAAGGTGAACGCCAGCCGGCGGCGGGGGGGCTGTTGCTCACTCTCTTTGGGGCCAGCCTGAGAACTATGAATGAAGGTTAACGCCGGCCGGTAGGAGGGGGGCTGTTGCTCACTCTCTTTGGGGCCAGCCTGAGAACTATGAATGAAGGTGAACGCCGGCCGGTAGGAGG